TTTTAATCATTCAAACTCTGAAGTCCTCTCTGACCATTTTATGTGGGGTGTGGATTGGGGTGGAAAGAGGGGGTTTTAACAGAATCTGAAGACATGTTATATATTTAAGTAAACATGAATGAGGAGAAAAAACTGTGTTTTTCTTTGACCTTTTATAAAACTTCCTGAGCACCAAATAGTGCTAAAAAAAATCCTTGATGAATTAATTTAAATGTCAATGACTTTGGAACATAAGGATTACTTTGCCTCTAAATCACCCATGTAAAGAAAATGATGTTTTGCAAAAAATAATAAACATGGCTCATTATTAATTCTATCACATTTGATAAGTGGCAGAAAGGGGCCCAGTAGAACCATGTTGGCTTAGTGAGCAAGTGGGATGTCTAGTTCAGTGCAAACGCACTATGGTAAATTGAAAAAGAGCCCACTGGGTCTTGGTTCTGACACTGGGTTATGTTCAAGACCATGGCCTCCAGCTGTACTGTGCGGGTCCCACTGCAAAGGCTCCCTGTGGGGCGGGAGCTGGTTGTTTATGATGGGGAGGTTGGCTCCATCCTTCAGTGACATCTGTGTGGCTCCTTTTGGAGTATCTCCATCCCCAACAATTCCCGCTCCGTGTTTTTCTGCCTAGCTCATGTTTATTCTTGCTACTTGTGATCCTAGGGGTTATACCCTCACTAACCAACATTGGCCAGTGCCCCAATGTCTGGGGAACAAGGTAAGAGAATGGCATAAGACAACAGCAAAATAACAGAGGCAACGATTTTTAAAAATATTGGATTTAGATACGACACACAAAACACAAAAGACAAAAGAAAAAAATGGATAAATTGGACTTCAAATTTTAAAACCTTTGCATTTCCACAAATACCTCAAGATTACACAAGGAACTTTCACAATCCTATATAATAAAAAGGTAATATGCAAATTGATCCTAACCGCAGAACAAACCAGAACGACTGCTGGACTAGTCACTATGAGGTGCACTGACCACCTCTTGGTCCCTTTCCCGGGCCGGCTGGCTCCAATCGCCTGATGGCCACCCACGGCAGGTGCGGGGCCAGTGAGTGGGCGGGAACAGTCAACCTTTCAGTTCCTTCCCCCGGCTGTCAGGCATTGATCACATGATGGTGAACGGGGTACCAGGAGTGGGTGGCGGTGGCGGTGGGGGGCGGGGCCGGCTGTGGGCAGCTGGGGAAGATGGCCCTAATCGCAGGCCAGGCCTAGGGACCATACCTGTGCACAAATTTGGTGCACCAGGCCTCTAGTTCAACAATAAGACAAAAAACAAACAAAAAGTCCCCCAAAACCTCAAAATGGGCAATGGACTTGAATAAACATTTTTTCAGAGAAGCTATACAAATGGCCCACATTTTGAGAAATGCAAATCGAAACCAAGTACCACTCCATCGCCCTGGGATTCTATAATAAAAAAAGACGGATAATACCAAGATAGATGGCTATTAACTGCTCTAGAAGACAGTCTGGAAGTTGCTCAAAATGTTGACATGGAGATACGAGTTACATTTTGGCCCAGAAATTCCGCTTCTATGTATATAGACCCACAAGAAGTAAAAACATATCTCCACACTCACCTTGCACAGGAATGCTCACGGCAGGGATGATTATTCCCCTGTCATCATCACAACCAGAGAGGCCAGGGAAAGGGAACAGAAATGTCCCTCAGCAACTGGGATTCTATAATAAAAAAAGACGGATAATACCAAGTTAGGTGGCTATTAACTGCTCTAGAAAACAGTCTGGAAGTTGCTCAAAATGTTGACGTGGAGTTACATTTTGGCCCAGAAATTCCGCTTCTATGTATATAGACCCACAAGAAGTAAAAACATATCTCCACACTCACCTTGCACAGAAATGCTCATGGCAGAATCATTCATCATAACCAGGGAGAGTGAACAACAGAAATGTCCGTCAACAGTGAGCAAACAATGTGGGTGCATCCATGCAGGGAGTGTGGGTGCTGAGGGCTCACATGGGAGCCCTCTCCAGGCATTGCCTCCAGCAAAGGGAGCCCTCCCACTAGGGTCAGTTCACAACCCGGTTCAATGTGGGGCTTCCAAGGCCTGGAACCACTTCAGAACAACTCTAAAAAGCCATTCCAGAGCTTTCCATGGGATTGGCTGAGGCCTTCTTTTTCTTTTTTTTAATATGTTTTTATTGATTTTAGAAAGAGAGGGAGAGGGAGAGAGAGAAACATCAGTTGGTTGCCTCCTGCATACCCTCACTGGGGATCGAGTGCACAACCCAGACATGTGCCCTCACTGGGAATTGAACCAGTGACCACTCGGTGTATGGGACGATGCTCAACCACCTAAGCCATAATGGCCAGAGCATCTTGTATGGCTGCAGCACAGCCCACCTTCTCTTGCCCACTCCGCTGCCTTCAGTCCCTCCAGGAGTTTTCCCCAACAGCACTCCTCAGTCAACTCCATGGGCTCAAATATCTGAGTCTGGTTCCCCGAGGAACCACTCTGAGACAGTAAGACACTGATTTGGACCACCTGCAGCAGCTGGCTCAGCCCACAGTCAGAGCTCAGTAAATGCTGACCACACTGCAGGCTCCTCTTGTGCCCGCCTCTCTGGTTGTGATGACGACAGGGGAACAATCATCCCTGCAGTTAGCCAGATGTTGGGAGCTGGTGGGGAGATGGGTGTTACATCATCATCTAAGCGAATCAGGAATAGACTCTCCGAGCTCTTGGACCATGGAGTATATATTTTTAAATATATTTTTATTGATTTCAGAGAAGGGGGAGGGAGAGATAGAAACATCAAAGATGAGGAAGAACCATTGATCAGCTGCCTCCTGCCTGCATCCTACTGGGGATCCAGCCCACAACCCAGGCCTATCCCTTGACTGGGAATCAAACTGTGACCTCCTGGTTCATAGGTCGGTGCTCAACCACGGAGCCACCGTAGCCATGCAACCATGGAGTATTTTTATGGACAAAGTGAACTTGTGTGGCTAGCAGAGATGGCCACGAATTCCTTGACACTCACCATCAAAAGGAGGGGTCTGTGTCTGCTCCCCGTGAGCCTTTGGCTGTTTTGATTGATAGAAGGTGGAGGGGGTGGAGCTGGGGCAGTTCCCAGACCCAGTCCTTGACAGGTTGGCAGCTCCTAGCTCCTGTCCTTGGGAACTCTCTCTCTGGGGTCCCTGAGCTGCCATGTAAGAAGTCCAACTTTCCTGAGACTGCCCTGCCGGGGAGGCCAAATACATAAGCTCTGATGGACATCCCCAGCTGAGCCAGCCTTCTAGCCATCCCCCTCCCACAATGCACCAAACATGTGAGTGAAGCTGTCTTGGATCATCCCAAACCCACTCATCTTCCATGTGAACCCCACTTAGTGACCTCAGCCAATCCTACACAGAGCAGAAGAATCACCAGCCAGGCTCGAAGAAATCCTTGACCCACCACATCATGATACAGCAGTATGGTCCTGTTTTAATTTGTCGTGCAGCAATAGGCAACCAGATAACCCCATCCTGGGCCCCCTCAACACCTCCTTGAACTCTCAGTGCCTCGCTGGGAATGGGGCAGGAAGGGGAATGCTTGGCTCGTGCCTGCTTGAAAGCGGCGGAGGCCCAATACCTCAGACAACTTGCCTAAATCTAAACATTTAATTTGCAACCATCCTAGCGGTGGAACGTATTTCACTTGAGCCTTTCATCAAGTGCATTTCCACTAGCCAGGCTGTAGGGTCTTGTTCTGAGGAAAGGAAATGGTGGTAAATAATGATTTGACAGAACCAAATAGTGGGTGAGGATGACCTCCCAGACATGGCCCCCAGGGGGACACAGACCTCTGCGTCCAGGACTGTGGGTCTTGTTCTGAGGAAAGGAAATGGTGGTAAATAATTATTTGACAGAACCAAATAGGGGGTGAGGATGACCTCCCAGACATGGCCCCAGGGGGACACAGACCTCTGCGTCCAGGACTGGGGAGCGTAGACTCACAGGGAACCTGGGTCTGAGGTTTCAATTTAAAAGGAGACAATTAGAGACGTGTTCATATCTAACCACCCAAGGTCGTGGTTTTTCAAGAAACAGGACTAATTTAGATATTTTTTTTTTCTGTCTCCAGAAATAATGTGTCAGTGTCGGAATGTGTGTCCGGATTCTCCGTGTGTAAGAGGTGGCCATCACGCTTGCACGTGGGGCTCTTTTTCTGAGTCGCTCATTGAATACTCGCTACGAGGAGTTCCGAGTCTCCTTGGCTCTAAGGACTGACCCATTAAAACACCTGCCACCGTTCGGAAGCTCCAGGGATAATACGAATATCAACGGTCTTACCCTACGTGCACTTCTCCAAAAGCACCCCCAGAAACAACAAAGCAACAACAATACAAGACGAAGGAGCCGTATCTCAGAGTTCGATGTTTCCAGGTGGCCCTCCCATGGTCGGCAACTCTGGGCTTCCTGGGAGGAAGGAGGAAACGGAGACCCTAGTCCTCAGTGTGTGCAAACACTCACTTTACACGCGAGATCCCCAGGCTCACAGCGTCCCCGGGAGGCGGGTGCTGTGTCTCATCAATAAGAACACGGAGTTAAGCAACGTGCACGAGGTCTCACGGACAGGGAGGGATGGGGCGGAGGGGTGGGCGGCGTTAAACTCATCTGTGTCTGTCTGAGTTCAAGGTCAACCCTCTTTCTAAGTGCAACGCTACCTACAGTCCTTCTGCAAGGGGCTCAGAGCTTCCGGCTCTGCTGTTGCCAAGCCAGGGTCAATGCTGATCACCAGCTTGGGGGATGGAGGGCTTCCTCACCAACCTGCAATCGCAGGAGGGCTCCTCTACAGGCCCAGGTGCGTGCAGTGCGACCCGCTCAGACCCAAAGCTTTTGCCTGTTGGGGAGGTTCTTGGTGTCTCCCTTGGATCTCACGGCGATGGATGTCATTAAATAGGTGATAATCTATGTAAGCCGAATTATTCAACTACATTGCCGTGCCCACATACAAATATGCAAATGAGGTACGTACCCACACAGGTGTGCCCGTTGGAGGGCCTGGCGCCGGGCTGGTCATCGTGGGCTGCAGAGGCCGAGGTGTGAAAGGGCAGGAGGAGGAGCAGAGGAGCCACCAGAAGCACTTTCCGGAGGGACTTCATGTCGGGGCTCCGCACCAGAGGGGCCAGCCCGGCCGCAGAGCCGCTGGCTGAGTGAGGCTGACCTTGAGGCCACAGGAAGGAGCAGTCTCGCCCTTCTCTTCCGTCCTCTGACTCACACTACACACACCCCACGCTCACACACACACTGCTCACTAATATGAGACGAATCAAGGCGCACACACACTCACACGTCACTGGTCGCTACTGCAGATCCCCAGAGAGCCCCGGGCTCCGGGAGAGCGGGTGAGGGCCCCGAGGGCAGCTCTTCTGCGCTGCAAACTGGCCCAGAAGGAAAAACCCAAGTTGCAGCCGAGGCAGGAACACGCATGTCTGTGCTTTCCTGAGGTCAGGGCCCACACCCCCGGAACCCGATGACTGCGGAATGGCCCCGGGGTGCGCAGGAGGCACTTCCCCTTTCCTTCTTGTGAAACTAAATTAAAACTAAAACTGCAGAAAGAAACCACTAAACCACAAACTCACAGCCTGTAGCAAGTGGATCAGCAGCGCCACAGCCTGCAGAACCATCCTCTGTCTGTCCGTCCAGAAGCCCTTTAGTTTTGCTGCAAACAGCTTTATCTGGGGAGGTCGGGCGCCTTACTCTGTTGCTGGAGTTATTTCCTCTAAAGAAGTTGGATGAGTCCTCAAAGGGCCAGGCCTCCCGCGTGGTGTGCAGAACAGGAGCAGGCAAGGGGGCAGGGGTGCGGCTGGGTGCTGAGCCTCGGAAGGAAACGGGCCGCATTGCCCAACGCGCTGCCTCGGACCAGGCCGCCTTCTCCCCAGTGTTTCCCAGTGTTTGCCATCCCCACCTGGCGGTGATTTCCGCCTTTTTAAGAGACTGATTTTCTGTTTTGAAGTTGAGGACGGAATGTGTTTTTGTTTTTTGTTTTCTGGAGAAAACAAACACACAGAATGGAACCAGATCATTGAGAGAGAAAAGACATGTCCTAGGTGCTTTGTTTTCTAAAACAGGACACGGGAAGTCATACACATTCTCAGACGAGACCAGGGGCTGCTGGGCCAAAGTACCACCACCCAGATAAGCTGGCGCATGCGACTTGCAGTCTGCGCTTGGGCTCTGAGGAAGCTTATAAACTCCATCAAATATGATGAAAGCTACCAACTCGGTCGCGGTGCCTCTCCGCCCCCCACCTGCTCCCCCCCAGTCCTCCAGCTTTTGGCATTTTGAGTAGCAGGCAGAATTTGGGGCTTGTATTCTTTCTGTGACAGGCAGTTAGACATAAGCAGAGCCAGGACGATGGGTGGGCCCAGCACAGAAGGTCACCAGGGCGGAAAGTCCTGAGGGCCTAGCAAAGCACAATTGTAGGGCGGGACCTTGCCCCAGGGTGACCTTTCCTCCCCTGGCATGTCGCTGCTCAGGCAGTTTGGACCCCTGACCTTTCCTCCCTAGCGATAACATCTGGGCCTCAGTTGTATTCAGCTCCAGGCCCAGAAAAGCAGCAAACCAGCCCCAGCTGCCTCAGGACCAGCTGCACTGACTAACGAACCCCCTGCCCTGGTGCCGGCCAGTCAATCAGCGGAGACCCGGACCCTGAAAGGACACACCTGGAAAGCTGCTGAATATTCTATTGAGATCTTCCCCCGGGACCTCCCTAAACTCTCCCCCCTAAAACCCTCAGGACGAGGACCCCGTGCCTCTCCCTCCTCAGAGCATCCCCCACCCAAGCCTTTCCATTTCCCCTTAGTTTTTCAGGGTCAGAGAGGGACCCAGAGATCAGGAAGTGATTTTGCTAACTGAGCTGAAGCCAGTGCATGTGCCCATACACCACAGAACCGCCTTCCTGTCCCCAGGGTGGAGGGCTCCCCCTGTTGGCACAAGTGGCCCTCAGCCTGGCTGGTCTCATCTTCCTCACAGGCTGCGTCTGTCCACTGAGCCCTGAGTGCCAATGACCTAGGCCAGTGATGGCGAACCTTTTGAGCTCGGCGTGTCAGCATTTTGAAAAACCCTAACTTAACTCTGGTCCGTGTCACA